TATCATGTTGTAAAGTTTTGATGATTTGACAGCATTTTCTTTTTCAATGGAATCAATCCCACCATTTTCCAAATACATAATTTTCCACATAAATAGCAAAAACAAGATACCACAAATGCTCCTATTGTACCAACTATGCTTGATTATAAAACAATGCTATTGATTTGGGTTTAGTCACGAACTATCACAATAGTTACTCCCGCAGGGCCAATATTTTTTTGAGACCAGCATAAATTAACCCAAATTTTGAAACATCAATTTTATGAGATAGAATATTTGAAAACATGTCACATACTAATGGAACCTCGGAATCTACTTCAGGAACATGATGAATTCAACACCATTGACAGTCTCATTATCACAATAATAGACATAAGCAGCCTTTGAACCATTAAATTTCCAGCGTTCTTTTGATGGAATAGATCCATAAGATCCATTAAATTTTTTAGCATCAATCACATTAGAAATTTTTAATATTTTAAATAAATCAAAGATTTTTTCTTGTATTTTATGCTAAAAAAAAATTTATAAATTTTTTTTAACTGGAGTGGGAAAAAAATTGCTGTGATAAATAAATGGATTAACTTTTGGGCAAATATAATTATCTGAGCTCCTCCCATAGAAATGTTGATTGATTCACTCATTCATAGACAAATCTTTTTTTTTGAGACTGTTGTATGTAAAAAATTTATATAAATGTGGTGAAAAATTCCTTTTAATTGGCTAATTTCATATAATAATTGTTAAATATTATATTACATTAAAAAAAATGTCAGAAAGCCAACAAAATGTTAAGAAAATATGGAATTTGGAGCAGGCCCTGCCATGATTCCACAAGAAGTTTTAGAAAAAGTTCAACTGGAATTATTAAATTATAATAATACAGGAATGTCAGTTATGGAAATATCCTATAGATCAAAAGAATTTGAAGATTTATTAAATACAGCAAAAATAACTTAATCAAATTATTGAATATATTAAATAATTATAAAGTATTGTTTATGCAAGGTGGTGGCCACACACAATTTTCTGCTTAGTTTATAATTTATTGGCTGCTAAGAATCAAAATATGTCACAAACAAGTGTTGATGAAGAAGAAAAAGAAGTGTTTAATTCACCATTAGATTACATAATAACTGGTTCTTGGTCATCTAAAGCTTTTGAAGAGGCTAAAAGATTATATAATAATATTAATGTAGTGATTGATGCTAAAAAATTTAATGGATCTTATGGATCTATTCCATCAAAAGAACGCTGGAAATTTAATGGTTCAAAGGCTGCTTATGTCTATTATTGTGATAATGAGACTGTCAATGGTGTTGAATTCATCATGTTCCTGAAGTAGATTCCGAGGTTCCATTAGTATGTGACATGTTTTCAAATATTCTATCTCATAAAATTGATGTTTCAAAATTTGGGTTAATTTATGCTGGTCTCAAAAAAATATTGGCCCTGCGGGAGTAACTATTGTGATAGTTCGTGACTAAACCCAAATCAATAGCATTGTTTTATAATCAAGCATAGTTGGTACAATAGGAGCATTTGTGGTATCTTGTTTTTGCTATTTATGTGGAAAATTATGTATTTGGAAAATGGTGGGATTGATTCCATTGAAAAAGAAAATGCTGTCAAATCATCAAAACTTTACAACATGATAACAAATTCAAAAATTTATCAGTCTCCTGTTGAGAAATCAGTTAGGTCAAGAATGAATATACCATTTCATATTGATCCACCTGAATTGGAAAAAAAATTTCTGGATGGCGTAGTTCAATTGGGAATGGTTCAATTGAAAGGTCATCATAGTGTAGGTGGTATTAGAACAAGTATTTACAATGCAATGCCTTTACAAGGTGTAGAAATATTGGTTGAATATATGATTGATTTTGAAAAAAAGAATTCTAAATAAATATTTCATCATCATCATCATACTGATGCATAGCTCACAACTTTTAAAAATACTTGTTATAATTAATTAAATTAAATTAAATATTTTTTTATTTTTTTTTCACCTCATCATTGTAATTATTCATTCACCAATCTTTAACAAAACATAGTATAAACTTGGAATTATTTACCTATATAGATTTATAAGAATTTAATTAACATATATTTGTATGTATGTACTTGGTAATTAAATCACCCACCTCTTGTTCTTCTTCAATAATAATTTTTGCATCATCTACTTTTTCAGTTATTGATAATAATGGTCGTTTTAAGATCTTTCTAATGTAATCAGTTTCTTTCTTGATAATATTTTCTAATAAATTATCAGTATCAGTTATGAATTTGTAATACATCAACACTGGATCAATGGGTTGTAAACCAGCCTATATATATATTAAAAATTTTAGTAAAAATAATTCTTTTGAATAATCATAAAAAGATAATTGATTACCTTTTTTCTTAACCTTTGTACACGATTCACAATTTCACGTGCCAATCCTTCCTCTTGTAAATCTTGATATACTTTAGTATCAAGAAGAATAAGTACATCTTTGTCAGTATTTGTTTCATAATGACTATTAGAATCTTCAAAGTATCTGATCACTTGAAGATCTTCATCAACCAATTTTATACCATCTACCACAATCTCTTTGGTTCTTGCAAATTCTTTTACTTGTTCTGAAGTAACTTTTGGCAATGCATTTTTGACTTTCACTACATCTTTCCTAAGTTTTGCACCTAAAACCTTCCAATCTGCTTCTACCTTGTATTTGATTCCATATTTATCTTCTTCGGATGTTACAAGAAGATTTTTTATATTCAATTCCTAATTATTTTATTTTTTAATCAAAACATTGAATCATGTTATTATTAATGACTATTTTTTATCCAATTTTAAAAAAAAATTTTTTTTAATGAATACCTCAACAATATAACTTTCAAGTGATAAAACATCTGAATGATATTGAGTATTTGAGTGTACAACAACAAGTTCTTTTAATGGTGTCTAATTAATCAGATAAAAGAAAATAATAATAACAATAATCAGCATAAATTTTCCTCAAGAATTTTTCTTTGGGAGAAAAGTCAAAAATAATAACATTAATAACCTTTAGACTTATATTCTTTTTCTCACGAATGATTCTACCCAATTCAATAACTGTTTGCATTCGAGACATGCTTCGTTCAATTTCTGAATCAAAATATTCATTTCTAACCTCAGGAAAAGTTAAGAAATGAATGGATCTATTATCATTATTCAAGTCAGTTTCAGGAAGGAATATCTTCAAATTTTGATACATATATTCAGTAAGGAAAGGTGTAAATGATGCCTATTTTCACATACATACATATATTAATTATTATACTATTATTATTAAAGCAAAATAATTATAAAGGATTAATTAACATACCATAGATTTACATAATGTGAACAAAACTTCAAAAAGTGTATTTAATGCATCAATAGTATCTTCAGGGCTAATTTCACCCTTTAGACGTTTACGATTAAATCTGACATACCAGTTGGTTAATTGTTCAATAAGATTTAACAATTTTGGTACCACTGTATACAATCGATATGCTTGATAAAAAATTCTTTAGATTAAAAATTTTTTAATTAAATATTTTTTCAAAATAAATAAATATTTTTTTGATTTACCTTTCATCTCTTCACGAACATATTTAATAAGACTTTGTGAGCTTGCTAATATCCATCTATCCATAACATTGACTGATTTTTTTAAATTTGGATTATATTTAAAATCCCCATTTGTATCCTAAAAGTAAATTCAAAAAGAAAAAATTTTTCTTTATAAAATACACTAAATCAAATAATGAAAATTATTAACTGGTAATAAAATGTTAATTACTTTTTTCAATAAAACTACTTGTGATGTGAAAAATCTATAAGCATTATACCAAGGTAAAAATACTTTGGATATAACTTCTTTAATACCATCTTCTTTAAATTTCAAAGGTTCTGCTCGAACAACTGGTGAATTGATGAGATATAACCTTTCACATTTATATATAAAGATGCATGAAAATTCATCATTGTTATTATTATTATCATAGTCATCAAACTTAGTGTATAAATTAATTACCTAAGTGCATCTGCACCATATGAGTTAATAATAACAGTTGGTTCTGGATAGTTTTGTAAACGTTTGCTCATCTTTTTACCATCACTAAATATTTGCAAATTTATGTATTTAGATTAATGCAATTATTAATTTATAAATAAATAAATAATCTTACGCTGCTAATACCAATCCATTAACTATCAAATTTTTGAATGCAGGTTTATCAAATAAATGAGTTGATAAAACCATTAATGTGTAAAACCAACCACGAGTCTGATCAAGACCTTCAGCAATAAAATCTGCAGGAAAAGATGCTTCAAATTTTTCCTTGTTTTCAAACGGATAATGACATTGAGCATAAGGCATACTACATAAATATTTAAACATAATCAAAAAGGTTTATTAAATAGTTTTATTATTAATAAATAATAATAATATACAACTAACCTTCCAGATTCAAACCAACAGTCAAATACTTCCTCAGTTCTTCTTAAAACACCTTTACCTTTCTTTGAAGGAATTGTAATATGATCAATTTTATCACGATGGATATCTGTCAATTCATCACATCCTGACAATTCTTGTAACTCTTTTAATGAACCAATACATACAATCTATATACACAAGTTTTTTTATTGTAAATATTTTGGGTAGGAATGAAATGTTCATTTTCATTTTATCAAATAATAAAAATAATTTTATTCTCACCTCTTCATAATCTTCACTGACCCAAAGTGGAATAGGAGTACCCCAATACCGATTACGTGAAACATTCCAATCACGTGCATTGACAATCCAGTTAGCAAATCTTTTTTCTTTAACAAAGTCAGGAACCCTGATAACAGTAATAATAATAATAAATACAATTAGTTAAATATTATTTTTTTTTTAAAAATCATTATTTGAGAAAATGAAAATGCCCACCAATAACTTTCTTGATTATTTTTTAATAATTTGTCAATAATTGGTTTTACACGCACAAACCAGGAGGGAACTGCTTTATAAATTAAAGGTGTATCTGAACTACAAGTATGTGAAGGCGTATAAAGATTACCAATCTATCAGATACCACCAATGTTGTTAAAGCAGTATTATAATATGTTTAAAATTTTAAAACAATGTGGATTATTGTTAACTCACCGCCAACAAAAAGGATAACTATGATTATATTGAGATTGATTAATCAATCTATTTTGTTGTTTCAAATGTTTTTGAATAGCTTTATCAGCCTCCTAAATAAATAAATAAATAAGTAGATAATAATTTAAACATAATTTTTTTGGGGATTTACAAATAGGAAAAATATAATTTTGAATTATTAAGAAATTCACCTTTACATATATTCCAGAAAATTCTTTTACTTCATCTGTAAATAACCCTTGCTCGTCAACTGGACATGGGAGAAATCCATCCTCAATAATAATATTATTTGCAAGACATATACGATAATCATCTTCACCAAAAGCTGGTGATTGATGAACAATACCAGTACCACTATCATCAGTAACATAATTGTCATTAACCACTATATATCCTTTGCCCTTGAACTTTTAATGAAAGTATTAGTAATAACAGTCTTAAATTAGTATCATTCTAATTTATTTTTGAAAAATGAAAAATGAAAAATAAAAATAAAAAATAAAATAAATCTTACTTTAGAAACGTAATAATCAAATAATGGTTTGTATTCCCAACCTTTCATATCCTTTCCTAAAAATTTGCCTAAAACTTCGTATTTTGCATTTTTCACATCTTTATACAAAATATTTAAACGTTTTTCTAGTAATATATATATATGACCAGATTCCTCATCTTTTATTTTTATATATTCAAAATCAGGATTTGTACACAAAGCCAAGTTACTAGGTAAAGTCCATGGAGTAGTTGTCCATGCTAGTAAACTGGTATTAGGATCATCAAGTAAAGGAAATGAAACAACAACTAATATATTTTATCACAGTATAATAGAAATAGTCAATTGATATTTATTTATATAAATATTTATTATATCATATTAAAATTTATTACTTACTAGAAGGATCATTAACATCTTTATAATTTTGAGCAGCTTCAAAATTTGAAAGTGGTGTGGTACAACCTGTAGAATATGGCATAATTTTCACTCCACGATATACTTGGTCTCTATCATATAGTTGTTTAAAAACCCACCAGACACTTTCCATAAAGGTAGTATTTAAAGTCTTATAGTCATTATCAAAATCAATCCAACGACCAATTCTTTCAACAGTTGTTTGCCAAGCTCCTGAATATCTCATAACTATACTACGACATTCTTCATTATATTTATCAATCCCCATTACCAACACGTCATCTCTACTCTTTAAATATATATTTAAGATTAAAATAAATAAACTAAGAAATAATAATTCTTTTCAAATAACGCACATACATATATACCTTGATATTTAATTTTTTATCAATTTCATATTCAATTGGAAGACCATGACAATCCCAACCAAACCTACGTTCAACATAATATCCTGTTTGAGTTGCATAACGAGTCACAATATCCTAATTATAAAGTCAATATATTTATTAATAAATATGTAAGGAATTAAAATATTATTTTTTCGTGCATTTCTTCAAAATTTTTAATACCTTAATGGTACCTGCTAGTAAATGACCATAATGTGGTAGACCGGTAGCAAAAGGAGGTCCATCATAAAAGGAAAAGGGTGGGTTTCCTTCTGATAATTTAATTTGTGTTCTGAATGCATCTATTTCTTTCCAAAAATTAAGAATTTTTTCTTCTTCCCTTGGAAAATTAAACTGTGCTAACAATATCAATGACGAAATAATATATACACATATTGTATCAAGTTTATTAAAAGAATGTTAATAATATAATTTACACTTATAATGTACCTTCTGTTTGCGTTTGCGACATTATTAACATTAATGCAAAAAAAATTACTGCCACCTTGTTACACCAAATCAGGAAGATCCAAATCCTCATATAGCTAATTATTCTATTGCTGTTGCTGCCACCAGTTAGACTATTGCAAGTTCAAATCGTACGAATAATTTGAAGCAGGAAAATTAAAAAATTTGAAAACAATTAATTAACTGTTGACGATAGAAAAAGTAAAAAGGTAGTTAGCATACTGTTTAGCTATGAGAGATACACTAAATTAAGTTCAACTGAATTTTTAGAAAAAGCTAGTGCTTATTGATCCACCATTCATTGCTTTAATCTGTGCCATTAAAAATATGTCTTGTTCAGACTTGGAAAGAGCTTGAAAGGATTCCCTCAATTCTGCAAATTGTTCCTTGGGTATTATTGAAGAACAATCACAATTACAACCTTTTTCTAAAAAATCAATTGCTTTTTGATGCTTATTAGAACCATTATACTTATTATTATTTTTCATATACACATATCCCTATATATATAATTTATGTTCACTTTGTAGGTTTTTTAAAATTGAGATGAGAGAGAATCATTCAAAGAACAAAATATCAAAAAGGCAAAAATTGATGAATGTTTGCAACATTTTATTTTCATTAACAACAACTTAATATGTCTTTAAATAATTTTTTTCTATATTTTAGTTGGATAAAAAATATAAACTTAACTTTTTAATCCTTTCCTTGAACACAAACAATATACCTTTGTCACTGCTGATGTGTACATATTTATCACAATATTCATAATATTTCATAAATAAGTTAAATTGATAAATTACATCACCCACATAATGATAATACTAGGACCATGCAGGAGTGAAACTTTTTAAGGAACCCATTTTTTCACAATAATGTGTGTGTCTATTCAGAATCTCTGAGATTCACAAAAATAAATGAATAGAGGATCTGAAAAAAATTTTTATTCTCTTTTCCAATTATATATCCTTATGAATAATAAATCTGATGATGGGTGTCAGATTTAATAAAAACTTTCCTATCACAAACATGCAAAACTCCGTGCAAAGCATCAATTCAGCACCATGGAGTTTTCTTCCACAGGTGAAAGAGATTTGAACATATTGGAAGGCTTTGTAAGGTGGGCAAAAATTTCCCTAATCTTTTCCTCAGATCAAAGCTTGGCTGTTACAATATATGCATTGATTGTTGACAAGAATTGATGCTGTGCAATGATTGCATTATATTATTGCCACTCCTATGAATAAAGTTGGTGCCTGCAACTGGTATGAAATTCTGCAACTTAGGTGGGAGGTCACAACTTGGGTTGCCGTTTTGTTGAGGTTGCTCAGCAGCCTTATCTGGTCAGGTGCTGTGAGAAAAGATTAGGTAGAGTTTGCATAAGCATCCTTGACGTTGATGCAATCTCAATAAACTTCAGGGCATCTTTTCCCCTCCCTGGAAATTTAATTGCATCATTGTATCATCAGGCGCGAGTCAGATTAGCCTTGTGTCATGAGGAACGTGAGTGAATGACTGTAATGTGCTCAGAGTAGCATTTGTGCCTCAATGTCTGTAAAGTGTCCAAATAATCCAACGTCGCATATTGAATTGTTTCCCTTCCTTCCTCATCTGCAACAGTGTATTGCCTTGTCATCTTATTATTCAATGTTAATATTAGTGATGATTACGAAAAGCAAAACAATACCAATAAGAATCAACAGTTTGATTTTGCAATAAAAAAAACAATAAATAAAAAAAAAATCAATACAATGCAACAGAAAATAGTGTACCTCTCGCCATCAATAAACAACGTGTCTCCTTCAGAACAAGCCATGCCAAGCAACAGCGTTCACGCTTCTCGTCTTGTAAAAGATAAATAAATTTGTTTTTCCAAAAAAAAAACAATTGTGCCAACAATCTTCGTACAACCATACAAGCGAGTACAGTCAAGCCTCGTTTCAACGAATCTTGTTTCAACGAATTTTTGTTTCAACGAATTTTGGTCTTGTCCCCCTTTTTTTATTAATTAAAAATTTTCGTTTCAACGAATTTTTATATATATATCGTGTTACAACGACAACGAATTTTTTTGGTGGAATTTTTATATAAGTACAACGAATTCACGTGATATGCAGCATATGTGATTTTCCCCGATTTTCCAAATTACTATAATAACTATAGCAAAAATCCATTTTACTAAATAATGATTTTATATGAATAGTTTTTATGCGCGACAATTCTTCAAAATCCAAATTTCTAGGAAAAAAAAACAATAAAGAAAAATTCACATTATTATTAAAAAAACCAATTTACTAATAAATTATTATCTAAAATTTTCATTGCATGATTAAATACTAATTAATCAAACAAAATAAAATCCACTTTACTAAATAATGATTTTACACAAATAGTGATAATTCTCCAAACCCAAATTAAAGAAAATAAAGAACATTCAAATAAAATATTCTTACTATTGTTTTAATCAAACATTTGAGTATTTTTAAAATGTATAAATAAAAGCAAAATTTTCTTTTATTGGGTTTTTTAAAATTAATAATTCCTACACAATTAATAACAAATAAATAATTGCTTCTGATTTCACATAATTAATAACCAAATAAATAATTTTTGATATCATTGATAAAATGTCTCAATCTTCTTCTAAAAAACGGGTATATATCACTGCAGAGCAAAAATGCGAAATTTGTTTATTAAAAAAAGCTAAACCTCAACCAAAAAATATTGAACTGGTGGATAAATATGGAATTAGTTCAGGCCAAGTTACTGATATATTGAGAACATCTGATAAATGGCTCAAAATTGATCCAAACTCTTATGAAGCAAAATTAAAAAAACCACATGCTTCTCCTGTTGTAAATATTGAAGAGGCTTTAATTTTATGGATTGAGAAAGCAATTGAATGCAATTTAACTATTACAAGTTCTATCATTCAAGAAAAAGCTTTAAAATTTTCGGAATTATTGGGGAATAATAGCTTCAAAGCATCATCTGGTTGGCTTCATAATTTTAAGCAGAGATATTCAATTCAGGAATATAACAAACATGGAGAATCTCAAAGTGCACCCATTACACAAATTCCGATAATGAGAGAAGACTTAAAAAATATCCTTAAAGAGTATCATGCAGAGGATATTTTTAATTGTGATGAAACTGGTCTTTTCTGGAAAATGGAACCATCTCGTGGATTATCTACAGGCCCTATCTCAGGTACAAAACAAAATAAAGATAGAATAACAATATTATTAACTTGTAATTCAACTGGTAGTGAAAAGTTAATGCCATTATTTATCCATAAATATGAGAATCCGCGACCACTAAAAAATATTAACAAAAAGTCTTTACCAGTTGAATATTATTGGAATAGCAAAGCATGGATGCAAGTCTCCATATGGAATGACTATTTAAAAAAATTAGATAATAAAATGAAGATTGCCAATAGAAACATATTATTGCTTGTTGACAATGCACCAACCCATAATTTAATGGATAATGTGCAGTTAACGAATGTAAATGTGCATTATTTGCCTCCAAACACAACCGCATTTCTACAACCATGTGATGCTGGGATAATACATTCTTTTAAGGTTTGTTTGTAAATAAATATTTTGATATAAATTGATTAAAAAGTTATATTTTGACTTACCTTTATACCATTTTACAGGCTAATTATTGAAAATTATTATTGAAAAAAAAGATTAAAATTTATGACAAGAAACAAGAGGGTAAAAAACCCAAAGAATTTGATATTAAAAAAGCTATAAAATTTGTTGCAGAAGCTTGGGATAATGTTACCTCAATTACCATTAATAATTGCTGGAGGAAAACTGGCATTCTTCCATTGTCAGACAATGTAGCAGAAGAAGTTGAGGATGTAATTAATTTAGAAAGTGATATTGAAGATTTAATAAATAAATTTCCTTTCAGTTCACCATTGACTGCACAGGAATATGTATCAATTGATGATAAGTCAACTAATAGTGAAATGGTAACTAAGGAAGAGATTATTAACTCTCTTACACAAGTTGAAGAAGAGGAAGAAGTTATGGAACATGATACAAATATTCCCAATATTACAACAAAAGATGCAGTCAATGCTTTTGAAACTGTTTATAATTTTCTTGAACAGAACAATTTAGAAATAGATTATAATGAATTAAAAGCTTTTAAATCATTAAAAAGAAAAGTGACATTATATCATGTTAGAAACCAAAAACAAACATGTATTACTGGTTATTTCAAATAAAAAATTTTTTTTTATTATGTGTGTTGATCATTACTAAATAGTTAAAATTTTGTTTCAACGAATTTTAATGACCATCCCCAGAGATTTGTTGAAACGAGGCTTGACTGTATTTCATAAAAATATTGATCGACATTGTACCCGGCAGGCAAAAAAATTGAGCCATGATTTACTATTAAATTAACAAGTGATTCCCCCTACCCTTAAATATGAGTGGTTAATTTTAAACAGCGATTTTTAATATAATATACATATACATGCAATACTTTTACTGTAAGCTTTGATAATTCTTTTGCAATTAAATTATGATGATTTTCAAATATTTGATAAATTTGATTTTGTAAAGATTGACATGTTGGTAAGATATACCATGAATCAAAGATATTGCATAATTTTTTAAACCAAAAATTTCCTATAACTGAAAATGGCATTTGGAACCCAACAATAAAATTAATAATAGCATCTGTACATTCTTTTATTCTTTTATCATCATTTTCTTTATATGGTTTTTGTAATTGATTTGTTGTAGAAAGAATATTACTATGTTCTTTTGTTAAATGATCCATAAGTGGTCGTGTTGATGATTTTTTTGCATAATTTTTTTCACATAAACTACAAATAATTCCTATAACTTCATTTTGACTATTATATTTTTTATACATAAAATTCCAAACCGCAGATGTTGTTTTACTTTTATTACTTAGATATATTTTCCATTGCAAATATTATTAGTTGAAGATAGACTTTCAAATATTTGTTATATTATCTAAAATAAAGTCATTGTCATCATTGTCATCATCGTTTTCTTGTTCTGTTAATTTCAAACTCAGGAAGATAATTATTGTTGTTGTCAGAAAAATCATTGTCATTAGACATTATATGTAAAGAATTACTTCAAAACGAATTAAACATTTTCTTTACAAATATTTTAATTGTAGTAAAAATATTATTTATTCTATTTATAAACAGACAGATAATCTCATCTATCCAAATGTTTCTAAACTTAATAGTAAAAATAAATAAATAATTTGTTTGACTATAATGTTTAGACTATTTCTTATTTATTTTATTTAAAATTGTTACATTTATCATGATTAAAATTTAATTGGTTATTTATGTAAATCAGATCGACAAACTGCGGTTCAACCACGGTTGAGTCAGCTGTTTAACATCCCTAGAAAAATGTGATCAATGTATAAAATATCTTAGATTCTTAAATTTTGAAGAGAAATTAATAGATAAATTCGGAAGGAAAAGATTTGAGGATTGTACCTGTGAATACTGTGAAAAAGTAAGAGAATACAAAAAGAGAAGAAAAGAAAACAAGAATCTTACCACCAAATAAAACAGTAGAAATTACAGATGATCCTACATCAAATGATATCCTTGGATTAATCTCTGGTCTTAGAGAAGTAAATATTGATCATGCAATGACTGCTGAAGAATTCGTTAATGTTGATTCAGACATTACAACAACTGAATTACCTACTGACGAAAATATTATTGAAGATATTCTTATTTCTGAAGGTGTTTGGCAACCTGAAGATGTTGAAATGGAAGGAGAAGAAGAAGAAATGAGTGAAGAAGAGCCAATTATTTCTATGGAAGAAGGAAAAAAAGTACTTGAGATTACAAAAAAATTCTTAGAACAACAAGAATTTGCTACAGAAAAAGATGTTAGATATGTTAATGAATTGATAAAACGTTTAAATAGTTCTGTAGATAAAGCAAAACGTCAATCCTTGTTGACAGAATTTATGAATATTGATATTGAATAAAAAAATTTTATTATTAAATTAAATGTCACGTGAAATGGTTGACTGCTTGAGTTATATCCCACTTTAGTTATATCCCATAAAATTTCCAAAACAAAAGGGGGGATATAAAAGAGGTATGACTGTATTCTTTTTTCTTTTTCTTAATAAGCTGTTCATCTTGATTACTCATCATTTTTCTTTTCTTACTTTTTTCTTGTCTTGGATTCTCAATCTTTTTTCCTCCTGGATATAGTTCCATATTTTGTACCTGATCCATTTCTAGTTTTTCTTTATTTATTATTTTATCAAATTGTTCATCTTTGAATTTTTTCTTGATATAAGTCCATTGTTTATCAGATGATTTCTAATATTTTCAAAATAAGTTCTGCCAATTCCTAACATATCGAGGTAAGTTTCTTGACAAAGAGGTGTATTATGATCCCAGTGATAGAAAGTTCTTTTATTAGATCTGGTTTTCTTTTTAAGGTGCCTACTGGTGCTTATTGTTCCACCATCCATTGCTTTAAGTTGGGCCATCAAAAATATGTCTTGTTCTAATTTAGTGAGAGCTTGAAAGGATTCCCTTAATTCTGCAAATTGCTCTTTGGGAATTCTTGAAGAGCAACCACATTTACAACCTTTTTCTAAAAAATCAATTGCTTTTCAATATTCATTAGAACCATTGCATTTATTAACCTTGCAAATATTTTTCATATACACTTATCCCTATATATAATTTATAATTTTTTGTTCACTTTGTCATTTTAACATTACACATAAATATTAAGAAAAAAAAGACAATCCTTAATGATTTTGCCCATAAATGGTTTTCCATTTGTATTATTATTCTAATAGCTCTTTTTCAATTAAAAAAAAAGAATTAGTAAACATTCACTCACTTAACTCTTAATAAGTATAAGTAACAATAACTTAATCTTTTGCTCTCTTCATCACTGAATATTAAAAAAAAGTGTGCATCTAACAATGATGAATTATTTAACAAACTGATCACATGAAATCATGGTGTGTATTTAGAGAAAATGGTTTTATAGGAGTATGGATGAGAAAAGATCATTCAGTGCAAAGTATGAAGAGTGTACATTTATGGATGATTCATTGTATGTAAACTAGCTTAGTTTTACAAGCTTTTGAATGAATTTAATTGGGTAGAATTAAGAGTGAACATACAATTTTTTATTTATAAATATTATTTTGAGACTTAATCATACTAAAATGGACAGGTCAACAAATATAATAAATATTTCTATCAAAACTATTTGGATGTTAATATATACACTAATTGTTTGTCTGATTTACAGTTATTCCTTTGTTCTTTCAAACAAAACAATTGTTGATAACAAAAAAAAAATTATTTAGAACCCTAAAATTCATTGCTAATAAAGTCATATCCTTTCAACCAAATTTATTTTTAAAAAAGTGATTTCATTCACTATCTATCTTTATAGAAAACCTATATGTATTTTAAAATATTATTCCTTTACTGTTATTGTTCTAGAAGTCCTTCCTAGAGGTTGGAACCAGTTTGGATACAATCGACTTAAAACCTGTTCCTATTTTTCATATTTGATAAACTGAATATAATAAAACTGGTTTTATTATTAAACTTTATGTAAAGAGACTGTGCTAAATATAAAGCATTTATCAATTCTCTGTCACCACTTTCAAACAAAAACAATAACTAAAGTGTATGTATATCAAGGTTGGGTGATGAAAATATTTTGGAGTGTAATATGACAAAATGTGATGAAAGTGACAAAATGTGACAAAAGTGACAAAAAGTGACAAAGGGTAAAGTTGAAAGTCAAATTATGATAAAGATGACAAAATATAAATTCAATTTTATTTAGGTTTAATTAAAACAAAAAATTTTGAATTGATTTAATCACATATAAATCACTGTTTTTAGAAAATGAAGGACAGGATTATTTACTATTACTCTATTTTATTAGTTATGAATTTTGCTTCATATAAAATTCCATATTAATATACTATTATTATGGTAAGTAATGCTGAATACTTGCATGTAATTATTATGCTATAATTAATAGACATGTATATAAGCAACAAGTTTTGACTTGGAAAACAAATAATTAAATAGCTTTTGCTTTCATTTGATATATTCCATACAAAATTAAAACTGGTTGCCTGGTTAGAACCAGTTTTATTATATTCAGTTCGAAACCGGTTCTGATTTTGAAAAGGTGATTAAAACTGGTGTAAAATAGTAAATTATAAATCACGGGAAACAAACATATAAATCGGAAATGATTTACATGTATCACAAAGTGAAAATTTGGAAACGATTATCACGGAAGAAATAAACCAGTACAATTTAATAAATGTAAATAATAAGGCGCACCAATCAAATAAATAGCTCTCGGAAAATAACCCAAATATTGGAGATATAAATATTCCAACATTCTAAAGTGTAACAAATTACAAAGTCTCAGAATAATATTTAAACAGAAGAATTTTACATGACTCATATTGACTAGAAATTACTTGAAAATAATTCTAGATGGAAGGTTTAAATGATATTTAAAGAATATATTAATTAGTATAAATTAGGATTTCAATGAAGTCGGATAACTAGATGATAGAACCTTTAACATGTATAAATACATTGTAAATTTCTCTTTCATGTAATAATCAGTTAGTTAATTCTTAACTATTATCTTGTAATAACAATAATATCTTATTAATAAAATACAAACATAAATATCTCTTAAAATAATCTATTGGCAGTGGAATTATCCACCCACTTCCAAAACCATATAAACCTTTAACTCTAACTTAATTATTAATTAATTACTATCTTACCAGGGGGACGCCTTTGATAAGTATAGTTGTGTGTGTATGTTCTTTTACTTTTTATTTTCTTTATTTTTATTCAGATTAGGCAACACCTAAATAGTGGAAATCCTAGCTAGGTGAGGTCAGTTAAGAGACTGAACCATAAATATAAGTATCACAGTGGATACTTCAGATATTATAAATATCATTGAGATGTGCTGGCTCAGGTAGATAATGAAGAACTGCTGAGAAAACGTTACTGGAAGGGAAGTAAGGAAACTTGCCCTGTAAATAACTAAATAGCTTGAGCACTATAGGAAGAGAAAGTAATCAAAGAATTACATAATTGGATACTGCCATAAGAAGGGATAAATAATATTTTAACCAAATCCAAGAGATTTGTGTGAGACGCGGATTTTGATCTCACACCAGTTCTTGAAAATAAAACTGGTTCCAACCTCTAGTCCTTCCTACAGTACATATTGAATATGGCATACAATATCCTGAGTCTCTTCAATTGCGGTATTGCGAGTGTGCAATCCGAGTTTCCTATTTAATAGGTTATTTATAGCTCAACACACAGCCACCTCGCTGACTTACGGTTGATTCTATGGTTTGACACACAGCCTACTTGCTGACTTACAGTCAATTTCCTTTATTTATATATATGACACACAGCCTACTCGCTGACTTACGGTCAAAAATCAATAAAATATAACTTTTATCTTCTCAGATAAAAGGATCCCTAGGTTCTATATGTAATTATATCCCAAAGGCGTCCCCTTGAGATGTCTCTTAATAATTAGAATGTTGGTTACTTGCTATGGGCAGCAAAGGTTTCCCCTTTGTGTTTTATTAATTAATTAGAGATTATTGTTATTCAGGGTAAAATATGTTATGTGTTTTATTAGCAATAATAATATTATTATTACAGTGTATTAGGAAATATCAATTATTAGATCAATAATTAAAAGATTGTTATGAACATGATGATTCTGACTTGGTCTAAAACCAAGTCCTTTTATACCTCTTGGGGTATTACAAATAACATGACTTTTACTCTAGTTTGTCCAATAAACTATGCTTATTAATATAAAATAAATATTTGGGTCAACTGATCATTACAAATAATAATTAATAATTTAAAGTAAATATTTACATCAGCTGAACAAGTTCTTGAAATATAAATATAGAAATATGAATATGAGTAATTGTGCGTGTGATACTGCGCAATGTGTGGCACAGTATTTCACAAAATATAACGTTAAAATAAAAATAGAAATGATTTGATTTTCACGTGACTTCCGCAGTAGTTTGGTTTGGTTGGATCGGCAACGTGGGACCTCTCTATCAGTCCTCATTTTACTATCTCACAGTATAACCTAGCTTTTTCAAAAGTAACTCTATTTCTAATTTTTTCAGCAACACTAATTGTTTTCTGTAAATGGATATGTTGTGATTAGCAAAAAGGTAATATCACATTATCAAAAAAGATGTGTATTTAAACTATACATGGGATGGTAATTATTTTGCCAAAAACATAATATGTAATATGTATTACATAATTACAAAATTAATTACAAAATTAATTACGGATGACAAAATCAATTACATGTGACGAAATCAATTATGAATGATGTAATTAAATGACACCTATTATTTATCTCATTATACTAGTATAATGACATAATTTGTCAACTTTTTTTAGAATTATAGAATTTATTCTGTTATAACGACATGTCAGTATAATGGGAGAACATTCTCATTTCTGAAAAAACATAAGGTAATAAATAGGGATGGGAATGGTTCGGTTTATAAACTGCCAGTTTGGCTAGTGAACCGCAGTTTTATAATTTAATTGGTAGGGATGGGAATGGTTCAGTTCAGTTTGGTTTATAAACCACCAGTTTGACTATGGTTGGCTCAGTCTAAAGACCTCCTATTGCTGCGCCATGCACTCAAATTTCAAAAATTGCAATTTCGTGATTCGTTCAAAAATGCAATAAATTTTTAAAAAAGGGTTACACATGATTTTGGTCAAAAACTATTTTCCTTACTGCCAAATTTAGATATGATGGTCGAGTATTAGGCTAAATTTAGGAATGATGATCAAAACCTAGTCTAAATTTAGAAATGATCCTAGTGCTCAAATTTCTCATGAGCATAGTAAAGTACATGTTTTAAAAAAGAATAGAACTCTACAATAAATAATTTTTTGGAGAAAATCTCTTCATTACATTAAAAGTAGAAACCTATTTTACCAACTAATGAGGCTATTTTTTTAAAAGGTAGGACAGAAAATGACTTCTATACTTTTAAAATTTGCCCAAAATTTAGGAGGTCTTTAGACCAAGCCAACTATAGTGAACTGCACCAACTGACAATTTACTGATCATGGTTTGAACCACGGTTTTATAATTTTATTGGTCAAGTTAAATTTAAGAATTTTATTTTTATATATAATAAAATGAAAAAAATTATTTTTTTAAAAAAAAACAAATTAATTTGTTCCAATAATTAAACCACTTTTAAGCATCATTACTATCTTCTTCATCAGAAAGTTCATATTCTTGACCAATTTTTTCAGAAATCCAGCTTTTTAAGCATAACAAACCTCGTGATGTTTCAGGATCTAGGCGATTCCTTAATTTAGATATTGTCAATCCTGCAACAGAAAAGGATTGTTCACATGGAAATGAGGTAGGTTGTATTGCCAAGTAATCCTTTGCTAATTCAGATAGAAATGGAAAAGTTTCTTTATATGTACACCACCACATGAGAGGATTGCATTCATTTTCTTTCGCTAATAATAAATATTTTTCTACTTCATCATTTGTATGAGTATTATTTGTAGGAAGGAACTGACTAGCCAAACTTCTTATATGTGTATGTGCATCAATTCTATTTTTAATTATTTGTGATGGTGCTGTTTGGTTATTGGTGGTGATAGTTGATGTATTATTGTTATTAACATTAAAATTTGAGTTGTAATGAATTAATTTACATTTTATTGCAGTTACTGTTCTTGTAATTTCATCAGTTGTAAAAGTTGTGCTTTTGGTAGGAGGATCCAATAATGATGCCATCATTTTTGCTTCATCAGGTAATTCGAAATATTGTTCTAATTTATATAATATTGAGTTTGCTACTATATATTGTGTATTGCTAACTTCTATTTGTTTATATAGGTTTTTCACTAGTGTCCACAACGTAAAATGAAATTCTCCAATTGTAGAATAATTTAATGATGAAAGCAGTAATGTTGCTGAATAAAACGGTGATAAAACATCAATCAACTCCTTTAAATAAAAATAGAGCAATTTTTTATTTTAACATATGTCCTGATAATAATTAATATTAATAAATCTAAATGTTTTGTAATTAAATTAACACCTACATTTATTTTAAGCCAGTCATTTTCATCAGGATTGAGATGATTTAATATGTCTGGATGTTGTGCTGCCAACATATTTGCTTGTGTTTTAAATTGTTTCATTTTGTCAAGCATTAAATATGTGGAGTTCCACCTGATCTCTACATCAAGTTGTGGTGATAAAAATTCAATTGATTGTGAATGAAATATTTGCTTAAAATCCTCCATAAGATTAATAGAATTATGAATTTTTTTCATAAAATTGCGTACTTTTTTAATTGTGTCATCATGAACTTGCAGCCCATGCTGTACAGCAATATTAAGTATGTGGGCACCAAAACAATGATGAGTAACATGTGGATTATTATGATTAATACTCAACTCATTTTTTATTTCTCTTCCAAAAGCTACCATTGCAGATGCATTATCCGTTGTTATTCCTAATACCTTTGATGACACACCTAATTCTACTAAAAGAATTTTTACAGCATTCACCATATTTTCAGCACTGTGTGATTCATGAAATGGTATAATGTCAAGTAAAAAATGTTTCAGTTTCCATTCATCATTGATATAGTGACAAGTAACCCCAAGAAATGATGTGTGAGAATTTTTCAGATGTCCAAATGTCCATTGTTAATGATATTTTATTTTTTACATCTTGAATATGGTTTTTAACATGTTGTCGTTACTTCGTGAATTTTTTGACAATTTGATTTTTAATATATTTACGACATGGCATTTGGTAAGGTGGATCAAATTTCTTAATCATTTCTATAAAAAAATTATCCTCTACAATAGAAAAAGGTTGCATATTCATAATTATCCAATTGATCATAACTTTAGTTTTCATAAAATTTTCTTTGGGGGGATATGGGTTAATTCGTTGAAAATTTAAAGTTGTTTGAATGGATCTTTGATATTCATTTAGATGTTTGGTTTTTGATATGATTTTTTAAAGTACCAGTTGAAGTTTTCCCAATTCCACTATATGTAGCTGCACAAATACGGCACTTCTGAATTTCATTATTTCTTATAAAATATTCATCTACTTTTGAAGTAGTTCTAATTATTTGTGAATTATTAGGAATTTGAACAATTGATGATGATGATGATGATGATGATGATGATGATGATGATGATGATGATGGTAATGATGATGATGATGATGATGATGATGAAATGGAAGGTACAAGCATAATGTCATGTATTTGAATTGAATTATTGATATCAGGAATTTGCATTATTGATGAACTATTATTGGTATCATTATCAAAAATTTGAACAATTGAAGTAGGTGAAAGTGCAGCATTATCAATTCTTTTGTCAATTGACATTCTTGCAAAAAAAATATTTTTTAAGGAATATACATATTCTAAAAAAAATTAAAAATAAACGTAGTTAATTTTTATTGGTCAGAACCACTGAACCGGGGTTTGAACTGGGTTTAACCGCGGTTGATTAAACCGCGGTTTGAAATGTGTAAACCAAACCGCATCGGTTCAGCATGATAGAAATTCGTTTTATATCACAATTCGACGATCATTCGTGATAAACGTGATAAATTTTATTTATGTTGTACGACATAAGTTTCACAATTAATTACAATACCAATGCACACGATAAAACTTTATATAGTAACTTGTACGTTTTTACATTTTAAAAAAAAAAACAAATAATCGTTTTATATATTTTAACCTATTTTCTCTCCTTTTCCACTCCCTGATCAATTTGGAACAATTTGATGCATGAATTAGATGAAGAGTGAAAAAAAAGGTGAAAAAAGACATTTTAACGAATCATAGTTCAAGGCATTTTTACCTATAAACAAAATATTTATTGAATACAGTTCACTCTTTCTATAACAGCCTTTTCTATAATGGTTTTCATGCTATAACATATGTCTCATATACTAATACTGTCTCTATGATGAATAAACTGTAGTTGAATAATTATCATTAAAATAAAAATACATATTCAAAAAATAAATATTTACATGAATTATAGGAATTTTATACATCAACGTGTAAGTATATTATTAATTAATAGGTTGAAAATTTACCAATCATTTACTAAATTAAGCTCTCTATCCAAATCTATGTTTAAACTATTTACAGGAGTGTTGGTATCATCATTGTCATCTACTTCCTCTTCTTCAACTTCATCATAATCATCATTGGTTAGAATGTCAGGTCCTTTTTCAAGTCTCTTATTGAATGATTTTACATTACTATCTATACCCTTCTAGATAATATCATACCTTCAACTTTAGACATATACGCAATATTATTTAGGTCAGGTTCTTTTGAAGAATACTTGGAAACTGTATTTCGTATCTGGACCTTTGCATTGAGGTGGAGAAGAAAAAACTATAACAAAGCTCCTTTGGCATTTTTATCTGATTATTATTATTGGAAAGATAAAAATCATCCTTTTAATGAAACAATAAAGTTATATTTAGCTAATTTTAATGATTATTATGTTGAAAACATACATAGTAAAATAAGAAACAATACAACCTCATTACATACTCCAGAAGCCATAATCAACCAAGCATACTTACTTGACCTTCATGATCAAACAACAATAAAAGCATTCAAAAATGAACGTACATATCCATATACAGAACCAGTGCTGGAGGAGTTAACAATAAGAACTAGCTTGTTCTTGTTAAATTATTTCCATTCAATTTATTTAAATCTTGGAAAAAGTAAATTAGAAAATGAAGAGAAAAAAACCTACAAATTAGCAACTCTAGATAAAATTGTGGATACAAAACTTCTCCCAGCAGGTTACAACACATCATATCCCCCAAGTATTAACTTATGCGATCACTGCAAAGGTTTATTATCAACTTCCACAAATAATGATGAAGTTGTGCTAATATGTGGTCATGGATACCATGTGAATTGCTATAATGAATTAGAAAAACAATGTAGATATTGTGAAGAATATT